AGTTTTTTTACCGTTTCGACACCGTAGGGAGGACACGGGTGGGAGCCCGCTAGGGTCCGATTGCATGGTTCTTCCCCAGCAGCTGCATCGGGTTTCACAACCTGGTCTCGCAGAAGGCTGGCCCGCGACGGACAGTCCTCACGTAGATCGAAGGACTGCTTACACAGTCCCTTCTGGGAGAGGGCTATGTAGCAGCCTGGAGATTCCCCGGTTTGCTTGTGTAAAATTCTAACCAAAATTCTATAATTGTACACTTAGGCAACCGGTGTGGTTTGTTGAACTGCTTGCTGAGTTCGAACGCTTTACTTGCTCATCGCCATTTTTGCTTGGCGCTCGCTTCGGTTGCAACGCGCGACTGCTCTGTGTGCTGCGCTTGATCCGTTCCCCTAGCTAGAGCGTCCACGGTGTCGTTCGTTTATAGCTAGCTAACAGGGAATCTTTTGCCGAACCAATAAAAGTTTCCCTGCAACTCGATCTGTCTTCTCGAATCGCTCTTTGGGCTCCCGGAATAGGCAACCCTCTAAATTGGTGACCCCGGATCCGGAACAATCTCAACGCCGGATATTTCGAACTTTTCTCCGGTGAGCTCGTTCCATTTATTTTTCATATTTTCCGGTTTCATTTTTGCATACGGTAGCCTATTTTTTGCCTCATTGTTTAAGCCATGGATTCTGTAGAACCTAAGGTGGAGTCTATGCTTAGCGTTGTATCTCTCTCAGTTCCACCTTTTTGGGACATGGATCCTGTTTTGTGGTTCCCTCATCTGGAGGCTGAGTTTTATAACCACAAAATCACTTCCGACTACGCCAAGTATGGCAAGCTCCTTTCCTATCTCCCCAAGGAGATATCCATGCAGGTTCGTGACGTTATCCTTTCTCAGACCGAAAACCGCTATAAGGCTCTTAAAGAGGCCACGATTAAGCGTGTTATGCCCTCTGAGAAAGTTCGTCTGCAACAGCTTTTCAGAGATCTGTAGCTGGGCGACAAACTGCCCACAACTCTGCTACGGGAGATGCAGCAACTTCTTGGTCCCTCAACCATGGACGAGATGTTACTTCGCGAACTATGGCTACAACAGCTACCGGAAAACACACAAGCGATTCTCGCTACAGTGAGCTCCGTTCCGCTCACTCAACTAGCAGACTTAGCGGATCGAGTTAATGAACGATCACAGCCACAACCCAACGCCAGCAAGATCAATGCCGTCGCGTCCCAGGGCATTTCTATCACTGGCTTACAGTCAACTATAGAAGCCCTCCAAACACAAGTTGCGACACTTAGTCGTCAGGTGCAACAGCTTACTATGAACCCTCGTCGTCATAGCCGATCAAAATCGCCCTGCAAACGTTCTAAGTCTAGAAACAGGCCGGCTAGCTGTTGGTACCACCAGCGTTTTGGTACCGCAGCTCGTAAATGTGTAAAGCCTTGCAACTTCGACGAGAAGCAGGGAAAACTTCGCGGCCGGGCCGTAACGGCGACGGACGCGACTGGCCAACACCAAAGTCACCTCATCCGTGTCAGGGATTTAACTTCCGGCACCGCGTTTCTAGTCGACACTGGTGCCGAAGTTAGCGTTATACCCCGTAGCTCAGATGAGGTCGTCTCACCATCGCCGACCAAGCTGCGTGCCGCCAATGGCACACCAATCGCAACTTTCGGCGAAAAGCTGCTAACGCTCAACTTAGGCCTCCGGCGAACCTTTCGCTGGCCTTTCATAATCGCTGCTGTGCCTTTCGCCATCATAGGCATAGACTTTCTGCAGCGCTTTGACCTCATCGTCGACGCTAAAAGGAAGAAGCTTATCGACTCCAGGACAGATCTCAGTATTATCGGGACCAGCGCCAACGTGGCTGCTATCACTCCCATTCGTGTCCTACCTCAAGCTTCACAGCCTTTTCTAGAGCTTTTCAGCAAGCACCCTAAACTCGTTCGCGTCCTGAACGACTTGCCTCCTGTGACGTCGAACGTCATGCATTACATTTGCACTAAGGGCCCACCTGTTTCGGCCCGCCCTCGCCGATTAGCCCCGGACAAGCTCAAAGCTGCTAAGGCGGAATTCGAGCAAATGCTCGAACTGGGAATCATCCGCCCGTCTAAAAGTCCATGGGCATCACCATTACACATGGTGCCGAAGAAATCTGGTGACTGGCGCCCTTGTGGTGACTACAGGGCACCTAAGAAAGTTACCGTCCCGGATAAATACCCTATCCCGCACATGCACGACTTGACCTCAGCTCTAGCTGGCAAGTCTATCTTCAGCAAAGTCGACTTAGTTCGTGCTTACCACCAGATACCTGTCGCGCCAGATGACATTGCTAAAACAGCAGTCATCACGCCATTTGGTCTATTCGAGTACCTCAGAATGCCTTTCGGCCTCAGCAACGCTGCCCAAACTTTTCAGCGTTTCATTCATGAGGTAACGCGAGGACTCGAAGGCGTTTATCCTTATCTAGATGACACTCTTATCGCGAGCTCTTCTGATGACGAACATCTTCATCACCTTGACGCTCTCTTCCAACGCTTAACCCAGCATGGAGTTACCGTCAACCCCGATAAATGCCAGCTTGGCCAGAGCTCCATCGACTTTCTTGGCCACCGCGTCTGGTATTGAAGCTCTGCCAGACAAAATCCAGGCACTGAAGGACTATCCTGCTCCCAGTTCCTTCAAGTAGTTACGCCGATTTCTTGGCCTGGTTAACTATTATAGACGTTTTATTCCTAACTGCGCGAGCATTGTTCAACCAATGACTGACTTGCTCCGCGGTAACCAACGGTCTTTTCATTTTACAGACGACGCTAGACTGTCTTTCGAGAAGCTCAAAGACGCTATCTCCAACATAGCGCTTCTCGCCCATCCAGACACGTCTGCACCACTCTCCCTGACGACTGACGCATCAGACACTGCCGTCGGTGCAGTTCTTCAACAACTCATCGACCATCGATGGATACCTCTAGGTTTCTTCTCAAAGCGTTTACAACCCGCCGAATCACGTTACAGCACCTTCGGTAGGGAACTGTTAGCTATCTACCTAGGTATCCGACATTTCCGTCATTATCTCGAAGGTCGAAATTTTACAGTCTTCACCGACCACAAGCCATTGATCTTCGCAATCAATGGCGCAACATACAAGTATTCACCGCGGGAAACTAGACACCTAGACTACGTTTCTCAGTTTACGACAGACGTACGACATGTCTCAGGTGCTCTCAATCCCGTCGCGGATGCGCTTTCACGCACTCAGCAAATCAGCTTATCGCCTGGCACAAACGTTGATCTAGCCACCATGGCTGCTGCCCAACAAGCTGATCCCGACATTAGCAAGCCACGACGCAACACCACTGAGACGAGCACCATTGATCGACTCAAGCCAGCATTCTTCGACAAGTCTGACTCGCCGGTGCAACAAGTACCTTCACAGCCTGTGCCATCACAGCTGGCACCGCAACCTCAGACGAGTCAGTCCGCTCCAGCAGAACCGACAACCACAACCGACAGCACTCCTACCCGCCCTACTCTCAATCAACGCGGTAGGAAGCTCAAACCTAAGGTTCGTTTTTCGGACCGTTCGCACTTACTTTTTTACGTAGAACGTGCCTTAGAAATTTTCTGCTCTTACTAAACGTTTTTGAAAATCCACAAAAAAAGACCAAAACGTTTTGAAACTACCAAAAAAGAACAAAACTTTTTGAAAACCCAAAAACAGCCTTGCACGTTTTTCGCTTTGCACGCTTTTGTGCATTGCTATGCATTTATGCTACTTTTTCGTTTTGCTTTCCATATACACCGTCGGTTGGTTGCACCTCGGTTTCACTTTCCGCTGGATCCCCGCAAGTCAATTGGAACTGGAACGAACTTCCTGTTCAACCGCCTACGTGAACTTTACTAACTGTCCCCCCCACAAACAGTTTTTTTACCGTTTCGACACCGTAGGGAGGACACGGGTGGGAGCCCGCTAGGGTCCGATTGCATGGTTCTTCCCCAGCAGCTGCATCGGGTTTCACAACCTGGTCTCGCAGAAGGCTGGCCCGCGACGGACAGTCCTCACGTAGATCGAAGGACTGCTTACACAGTCCCTTCTGGGAGAGGGCTATGTAGCAGCCTGGAGATTCCCCGGTTTGCTTGTGTAAAATTCTAACCAAAATTCTATAATTGTACACTTAGGCAACCGGTGTGGTTTGTTGAACTGCTTGCTGAGTTCGAACGCTTTACTTGCTCATCGCCATTTTTGCTTGGCGCTCGCTTCGGTTGCAACGCGCGACTGCTCTGTGTGCTGCGCTTGATCCGTTCCCCTAGCTAGAGCGTCCACGGTGTCGTTCGTTTATAGCTAGCTAACAGGGAATCTTTTGCTGAACCAATAAAAGTTTCCCTGCAACTCGATCTGTCTTCTGAAATCGCACTCTGGGCTCCCGGAATAGGCAGCCCTCTAAATTCGGACCTAATACGACGCAAAGAAAATTGCGACTCTAGCTGACCAAACCAAGACTTAGGATTAGTCTCGCGAAAAGGTGCGATAGGAAGCGTAACTGTGCCGATCTGAACGTCAGAATCTGCGCGAACAGTTCCCATAGCGAGCAAAATAGCGAGCCAGCGAGATTAAACCGGAAAATGAAAAGTGAAAATCAGACGGGTTGGCAAAAAAATGTGGCCAAATCTGAAAAGAAAGGTTAACGAAAACTCACATGCTAATGACTAAAAGTCGGGGTCACCAATAATGCGCGTAGCAAGATCGGTACGCTTCAGAACCAATACGCGAATATAAGGCCAACCTCCGATGAGTGTAGAACACCAAAGTAACGCTAGGAGAAATTTATTAATGTGGAT